AAGCTCGTCTTGTTGCTCGTGGTTTTACTTAATAGCAAGGGATATACTATGGAGATACCTTCATCCTAGTAGTGAAGCCTGCCATGATTCGTCTGGTTCTCTCTCTCTCTCGCTATGTCTCATGGGTGGAGCCTTCGACAGATTGATCTGAGTAACGCCTTTCTACACGGTTACTTGGCCGAAGATCTCTATATGCAGCAGCCCCCTGGTTTCGAGGATGCCATTTATCACTCTCATGTTTGCAAACTTCAGAGGTCCATCTACGGGCTCAAGAAGTCGCCTCGTGCCTGGTAGGCTTGGTTGAGTAAGCGCCTCTCACAGCTTGGTTTCGTTGCCTCCAAAGCAGACACGTCCTTGTTCATCTTTTCACATGGTGCTATTCAGATATACATGTTGGTATATGTTGATTATATTGTGATTGCTGGCTCTACCCCTGCTGTGGTTGATCGCCTTATGCAGTCATTGTCTGCTAGTTTTCCCATCAAAGACTTGGGTCGGCTGGAGTACTTCCTTGGATTGGAAGCGTCCTTCATTCAGGGGGCATGACATTGACGCAGAAAAAGTATGCGCTAGATCTTCTTCATCACGTCAACATGGAGAACTGCAAGTCCAGTTCCACTCCGCTTGCTACATTCGAGAGTCTCTCATGTCACAGTAGTGCACTACTGGGTACTGATGACTCTTTCAGGTACCGCAGTGTGGTTGGAGCACTTCAGTATTTGACACTCACTCCGCCTGATAACTCCTTTGCTGTGAACAAAGTGTGTCAGTTTCTGTCTCAGCCTACAGAGATTCATTGGGAAGCAGTTAAGCGTATTCTGAGGAATGTCAAAGGTACGCTAGACACAGCACTACGGATTCGTAAGTCCAGATTTACTGGAGTCAGTATATTCACCGATGCAGACTGGGCAGGCTATGTTAATGACAGGCGTTCTACTGGTGGCTTTGCTGTGTTTGTTGGATCCGACCTTATATCTTGGAGTTCAAAGAAGCAGCCTACAGTCTCGAGATCTAGCACCGACGCAGAGTATAAGGCGTTGGCCAATGGCGCAGCTGAAACCATTTGGATAGACTAGGTTCTCACAGAACTTGGAGTTACACAGCAGCGCACGCCCATATTGTGGTGTGATAACTTAGGAGCAACTTACCTGACGGCGAATCCAGTGTTTCATGCTCGGACCAAACACATTGAGATTGATTTCCATTTTGTGAGGGAACGAGTAACTGCAGGTGCATTGGAAGTCAGGTTCATTTCAACAGATGATCAGCTAGCGGATGTATTTACTAAACCCGCTACTCGACAGATGCTAGACCGCTTCAGAACCAATCTGAATCTTGTATGTAGTTCAGATTGAGGGGGCATGTAAAATAGGGTCTAGTTTGCATATATTATACTTGTACACGTATATGGATACGTATGTAATTGTAATCTGATCATCTATATATTGAGACGTGAGGTGGATGTTAACCCCCCACGCAAAACCCTAAACCCTGCTGTTTCAATTGCTAGGACTAGGAGTCACTGCTATACTCAGAATGCCTCCTGTTGGTGCCATGACCTAACCTATGATTGAGTTAGATATAACAGCGATCTGGGATCTCAAGAGAAGATAGGTGTGCAAGAATAACAGAGAGGTTGGGGAAGAAGAAGAAGAAGAGCATGAGAGAAGGGGTTTAGAATTTCACTTCATCATCGATAAAAAGCAAGCGTTGCATCACCACGGCTTATAGGTGTGCCGGATCCACACGCTGGCCTTCCGTTGGATGACCACACCTCAGTTTCGTCAGATACACTTTGCTCTGCTTCCCCTGCTTCTCTTTGCCTCAGACGCTGGTGCCCGCTGCCCTGTGTCGTGTCCACTGCCTATTGACACTTACAAGTCTGAACCCTGAACCTTCCTGTCGACATCCTTCAGTTCTCAAGTTTCTGCAACCTGAATCAGAGCCTGCATCAATTCAAAACTAGAGCCGGATGAGCTGTCGCGCTCCTCCCCCTCTTCCTTGCGCGGCGGTTCCATTGCCATCCGGCCACGGGCTCCACCGGTAGTGGTTCGCTCCAAAAATTCAAAAAAATACAATTTTTTTCCATGGTAGATAATTTATTGTGTGAGGTTCCTCCAAATATTAGCTCATTTGGGCATCTCAGTAGCTCTCAGTAAAAAGACAAATTGGGCCAAAACAGTACATGAACAGTAAACTGTTTTACAGACCCCAAATTTGTCTTTTTCACCGAGAGTTGCTCAGCTGTCCAAATGATTTAAAAATTGGGGCGGACCTCACGCATCAAATTGTCTACCATGGGAAACAAACTTGAAATATTTTGAATTTTTCTAGTATTTATTTTGTTTTTTTATACAACAGGGGTGCAGATGAGCCCGGGCTAAGAAAATGATTTTCGCAAACCTAGATAGATTGTGGGCTTCATAATTCGAACCTCTTTTTTCATGGACGAAATTACATAGCATAAGGGTTTCGATGTTGTAATTTCTCTAATGACAACTTCATGTTTCCCGCCCTGCTTGGCGGCAATATCATTGATCAAACTTTGGCGATCCGAAGCGATATGTAGTCGCTGGAGGTTAAGATCCATCACCAACGCAAGGCAAATTCAGATGTACTACCTCTATGAAGAAACTAGCAAAAGGGCCCGTGTCTTGCAATGGGGAAAAAAATCATAATCTTCAATGGACATGACCATATTCTACCGCTTCACTGAGATACACTATCACTCTTAATTTCGTGAAAAGCATGAACAATTTTTAAAATCATGAACTTTTTTAAACTCATGTACATATTGGAAATCTTGGATATTTTTCAAATCCGTGAACACTTTTACAAATTTTCGAACATTTTTTAAAATCAAGAATATTTTTTGAATTCATAATTTTTTTATACTATTTGCAAAAAAATGAATAAATTTTTAAACAATTTTCTTGAATCGGTGAACATTTCTAGAATCGACGGACATATTTTCAGACATTGGTGGAATAATTTTTGAAATTCACGAACATTTATTATTGAACTTTTTTGAAATGCATGATCATATTTTGAATCAGCGAATATTTTATAAATGGATAAACTATTTTGTAATTCATGAACAATTTCTGAATTTTTAGGATATTTTTCCATTCATGAATATTTTTTGAGTTGGTGAAATTTTGTTCAATTTCATTAACATTTTTTATTACATGAACTTTTAAAAAATGATGAACATTTTTTGATTTGCCAAACATTTGTTTTCAAAATTACAACCATTTTTAATAAGCAAACATTTCATACAAAATCACGAAGATTTCTTGAATCCACCAAATGTTTATGATTTGTTAAACCTTTTATTTCAAAATTCTTGTTTTCAATTTTTTTTAACTTTTTGGAGTACCAAATAATTTAAATCATAAAAACTAAAACAAAAAAAGAAAAATTGAAATTTTAAAGTGAGGTTGCCCAGATATGTGCCGGCCCAAACGGGAGGGCCGCGTCTTCTCCCCGCAGAGCAGTATAGGATGTCCCAACTTCATGGGCCGCCCAGGCCGGGCATTCCTCTGTGTAAAACGTTTTTAATCACTTGCAAGTGGCATTGGTGGGTAATATTTTGCAACTTTGGAGGCAATTTTGGTGATGTACCCCCAGAAGCAATAGCCCATTTATTATTAGGTAAGTATAGACATAGATATAGATATAGATACAAGAGCGTTTAGGTCACTACTAGGTAATACTGCGCCTATGGCAGCAACTAGGTTGTCATACACATACAGGCATACATGTCAGCGTCAAGTGCTAATTTGGTTGAAACTCAAATTTCGTGTGAGATTTATTGGACCGGATACGAGCACTTTTTGCGAAGCAAGCCCTTATCCCTATCCCCTTCCTCCGCCCATGTCAACCTCCCGGCAGAGTTGTGTCGGAGGCGCCGGCGATCTGTAGCCTCCAGAGTCTCAGTGCCTCCTGGCGACACACAATTTTCCTAGCTGCGCATTTTCCACACAACCGCTCCCGCCGCCGCCGCCGTCTCCAGTAGCTCGTTGTTGCCTCCGGCCTCCTCCTCTTCTGCGTCTAAGATGAATCGAATGCACCCTTCACCGAGGCGTGGAACAACAGCTTACCGATGGCTAATTAAGCTAATTAAAGCAGCAGTACTACATGTCCATGGTAAGGATCAATTTCTTGTACACCTTCTGTCTAGTGTTGTTGAACTACAGACTGTTCTGAAATCTGATTATCTGATGTCATATGTTGATATGCGTATCTAAGACAATCCAATCAAGCGACTGACATGTGCTAGGCAGCCATGGTTGACCTTTCTATTGGGCAAGCAGCAATAAGCACAAAAACTTTTGCCGGTTCAAACAAAGGATGAGTGACTTCATCTTATACCAACTACTACATTTGGAAAATATCACGATATCTGTTGCCATCCAGGTCACCATCAGATTGACTTCTAACCATTTTTAAAGATTGATGACTGCTAATGTTGTTGAAAGTCAAATTTTGTAACCAACAGGCCAAGTCTCAAACGTCATGGTAATCTTTTCGGAGATTTTTCTCTCTCCAGGTTTGAAGATGAAACTGATGGCGTAGGAGGCATTACGTGTTGTTAAACTAATTACATTTTGGTTCTGCTACAATGCCCAAACCCCATTTCGGCTCTAAATATATGGTGTCGAAGCCCTAGTTCCTCCACCCAGCCAAAGCTATAAACATTTAACTCATAGGATATTGTGCCGAGACACTGTGGTTGTGGTGCAGTGTTGTCCATTATAAGAGTTCTTCAACTTTACATTAATTCACACTCTGATGAAAAAAAGATAGGAATGAAGTATAAAAGGAAAAATAGAGTAAGAGGAAAAAGGACCATATACATGCAGAATTACAGACACGGAGTGGCCTTAGTGTGCCTAGTGACACCAAATTATTCTTTGGGTCTTTGCAAAAAGACTACAAATTCCATGAAAAGCTAAACAACAATTATTACACTAAATTATAGAAGCTATGTTATAAGATTATACATGGAATTCGCGTCGCTTCCTCCCTGGCAAGAGGGTACCTTCACGCATATCCTGAACCCAGTCCGGAACAAAGTAAGATGCTGAATTGTAAGGAGGAATCCTTGATTCCCATGTCACTAAATTGAACTCCCCTTTTGGCCTAACACTAGGATCTGCCACGAGATCCCCAAGTGTCACCGTTGGTAATTCCTTCTTTCTTGGAACTATGGCTGAATAAGGTATCGCGCGCAGTGGATTCATAGCATAATCTGTTAAGTCAAGTGGATAACCTTGTTCCATTTGTATTTTCAGATCCACACCATATATAGAGAGGTTCCTTTCAAGCATTCTTCTTCTTTTTTTTAGTAGGAAAAGCCAGAATTGGACATTCAGGTTGTTCCTCAGTACATCTGCAACTGGATTTATAACAAGAAGTGACTCTTCCATGTGCAACATCTTGGCATATTCTTGTGCTATTGGTACTAGTCGTGGATGTTCTTCCGGGTTTGCACTTCCAAATGCCAGTGTCTTGAATAGGTACCATAATTCCTCGAAGGACAAATTATTGAGAAAAATTGGCTTCACTGATCCAAATCTGGCTGATCTTTGGAGTTTACTTATGATGATCACCTTGCTACCTCTAGCCAACCTTTTAACAAATGAGTGGAATGTTCTCCAATCGTTGTCATCTATATTGGAAGCAAACTCAACAACTACCAACATTTTGCCTAACATGGTACTTTCATGCTCAAGAATTTTCAGCAGGTTTTCTCCACTCAAGTGCAAAACCGAAGAGAAGCGCGACTGCACCCTCTCATCGCGGCACACATGAGCAACCAACGTTTTCTTGCCGACTGTGCAACCACCTATGATTGGAAGAACAGATGGTTCATCACCAGGCGTGTTCTGTTGCAACAAGAAGTTCAAGAGCATTTGCTTTTCGGCATGGCGTCCAAACATGATATTTTCATAGTAAAGATATGAATCATATGGTCTACGCACCATGCGGTCGCATCCACCCAAAAGCACAACAAACTCCATCATGTTAGCCACAACACTTTGCATGGTTTTCAAGGCACCATCTAAATCAAGGTTCACTACTTTGTCCCTTCTTGTACATTCAATTGTGCGAGTACGCTTAAGAGGAATGGCGAAAGGCAAAATAGATGAGTTGCAAACCTCGCTGATGCCTTTGTCCACAAAGCTTTGGTACCTGAAGGTGTCAACAACATGGTAGCCTTGGTACATGGCCTCTGAAAGCAACTGGAGCTGCATCACCATCCTGGAGTTCATGATATATCTCCCATCTGCTTCTTCAACGACCGTGTGTACTCTCATTAGGAGATGCTGCAATCTCTCCACCTTCTCCTCTAATCGCACATGGCTTGAGTAGGAGTACTTGTTTATGAGGAAGGAGATGAAGCGGCTAACAAATTCGCTTGCAACTGCAGATATGGTGAGATCCATGTCAAGTTCACCACCCCTTCTTTTATAAGTGGAATGTTTCGCTTGAGTGTCTACTTTGGTGAAACAAAGTCTATGAGTTTTGTGATGGAATTTGACAGGGAAGCTCATCTCTCACGATATATTAGTACTGCGTTGAAAGCACTAGCAGTTAATTTAATTAGAATCACATATTGAGCAAGGCCAAGCGTTTAAAGATGAGGAGTGAAATAATTCTACCAATTAAAGGATAGCTCCAACGTTCTTGAACATTCAATGCTCCTAGTGTTTGACTGTAGTTTCCAGAAGGAGTATTTGACAATAATGCTTGACAAGGACATGCCAACTACCATGATGTGCCATCTATGACTGCTTGATGGAGTTCCTATGACCAGAGCAGGAGTGCTATTGCTAGCTGCAGCAGGACTGGTGAGATCCAAAAAGTTGTGCGGTAGCTCAATGAAGCTTTAATATTTATTTATTTATAACTCTCTCATTGTTTCCTGGCCTGCAGTATTGTCCACATTGTATAATTGCTTCAAACTTCTTCAGTGATTCCCAACAATTTGGCAGAGGTGACGCAGCAGAGGGGCAGAGGCAGATGAACGGGAGGGGGGCATAGGTACCATGGCGTCGCCGTCGTAGACCTCCGTCCCTGGCTGCGCCTGCCTTCGAAGTCACCGTCTCCATCGCTGTTGCTGTTGCGGCCGCCACCGAGTGAGCTTCAGCGGGAGTTGGTTGAGGAGTCGCTCGCCTCGACTCGGTCAAAGGAGCCAAGTAGGCTGTAGGCATACGCTGTTAGAGGGCAAAGTAGCACGATTAGTTACTATCAAATTCAGATGTACTCCCTCCGTTTTTAAATATAAGTCCTTTTAGATATTTCAATACAGACTACATACAGAGCAGAATGAGTGAATCTACACTCTAAAATTTGTCTATATACATCCGTATGTAGTTCTTATCGAAATTTCTAAAAAGATTTATATTTGGAAACAGAGGAAGTAGTACGAAAGCAGCAACTTGGTCGAGCACTACTATCAAACTAGAGCGGCGATGAAACGAGAAGGATGGTTTGGTCACCTCCTCCCATGACCCATGGGATTTGTGTAGCCGAACATCAATGCAGGCTATGGTGATGAGATGCTCAGAGAGAGGTACAAAGCCTGCTGTTATCCGTGATAGTTTGATAAAGTTTACTGATTGCAGTAAATGAAAAAAAAAGCTAACTTGCAAAGCAGACATTTAATTTTACGTTGATATATGTAATCTGAATTTGTGGCCTTGTATATAAAAAAGAAGAGGATAAAAAAAATCTAACTTGCATCACAAAAATAACATGGAACAAAATATCAAGGATGTTTTTTTACTGTTTGCAAACTCCAAGGGACACCACGTGTGCAAAAGTCATCTGATGTGGTCTCGTTTGGGCGAGACTTGGACCAAAATAAACACAGTAGACGAGTCGTTGTGGACTAATTACGATTTGGGAGCTCGTGAACCAAAGTGAACATGCTAGTTAATTATTGTATCTTTGGTATACATTTCACTCGAGAGTAGTTTAGTTGTACTACATCTGTTCCGAATTATAAGATGTTCTATCTTTTTCTAAATCAAATGTATATAGACGCGTTTTACTATATTGTTCACTCATTTTAGCAGGTATGTAGTTCATATTGAAATATCCAGAACATCTTATAATTTGAAACGGGGGGAGTATCATTTAGCATCTAACCTTAGGTTTGTCTCCTTACCAAAAAAAGACCCTAGCAAATAGCCGCGGCCACCCGAACCAAAGCCGTTGCGTCCTTCCTGTTCGTCCTAACTTCTTGTTAACTTTTTTTTTTTTGCAAAAATGCCTTGCAAAGCCATGGAACTGGTCGGTGAAGGCAACGGCGGGGAGGCCTTTCCTCAGCTATCCTTTGGCTATGAGATGTGATCTATGAATGAAGGCTTGAAGCAGCGTGTATGGCTGTGCGGCGGCGGTGGTGAATATTTCAGCCGAACCAGCACTCTCTAGTGGTAAGACATCAGTGGCCATGATCCCGTCTGCAGGTATGTGAACGATGGCGCCGGCTTGCTGTGCCGCAATATGTGAATATGACGATTTTCTACTTGGGTGCATAAGTTTTCGATGTGTGCACCCTAAACATGCAGAGGTCGGATATGTGCTTATTGTGTTTGTATTCCCTTGATGCTTTATTTTGAAAAAAAAAACCCTTAGGGGTTTATCTAAACACCAAACCATTGTGTTCGGAGAAGTTTACTGATCACAGTAAATGAAAAGAAAAGCTGGCTTGCAAAACAGACATTTAATTTTTTATTGATACATGTAATCTGAGTTTATGGCCTTGTATATAAAAATAGAGAGGATAAAAAAAGTCTAACTTGCATCACAAAAATAACATAGAACAAAATAGTAAGGATGTTTTTTTACTGTTTGCAAACTCCAAGGGACACCACGTGTGCAAAAGTCATCTAATGTGGTCTCGTTTGGGCGAGACTTGGACCAAAGTAAACACAGTAGACGAGTCGTTGTGGACTAATTACGACTTGGGAGCTCGTGAACCAAAGTGAACATGCTAGTTAATTATTGTATCTTTGGTAGTATACATTTCACTCGAGAGTAGTTTAGTTGTACTACCACCAGTAGAAAAGGGGGCATTGGTTCAGGCCGGGTCAGCCCATTAGTCCCGGTTCAATCCAGAACCGGGACCAATGGTGGCATTGGACCCGGTTCGTGAGCCCCGGGGGCCGGCCGGGCCACGTGGGCCATTGGTTCCGGTTCGTCTGGACCTTTTGGTCCCGGTTGGTGGGACGAACCGGAACCAATGGGCCTCGCTCCTGACCCATCATCATTGGTCCCGGTTGGTGCCACGAACCGGGACCAAAGGCTGCCCTTTAGTCCCGGTTCAAGCCACCAACCGGGACCAATGAGGTGCCTATATATACCCCCTCGCGTAAGAGCAGAGCACACTGCTCTGTTTTTTCTGGCAGCCGAGGGGGAGAGGGCTTGGTGGTGCTCTAGCTCACCTCCTATGCATATAAGGTGTTCGATGGAATGCCCGATCCACACTACTTAAGCTTTCTCATCTCCAAGCTTCATTTTTCTTAATATTTGTCTAGATTTAGCGGTCCGTCACGCCCCGTACCCGTCTTCACTGCCGTCGATCACCCGCGCCGATCTCATCGTCGGCACCACCGTGGTGAGCCTCTTGTTCTTATCTTCTTTCTGAAAGGAAAAATATTCTTACTTGTAAGTTTAGATAGATACTTGTATTATTTTCTTATTTTTATTATTGCATCTTATATAGTGCGATGGTTTTGGTATCCGCCCCCGTCGGCCCTCGTCCTATCTATGATTCGGATGTGGTATATATTATCTTTTCATAACTATTGGTTCATTTATTGTTTATGAAAATTATGCCGACCAACGTGACATAGATTTTATTTATCTAGGAGGTTGTTGAACCGGAAATTCCAACCGACTCTATTGTCGAGAGGTTAAATTTAGTTGAAAAAGAAAACAATTTCTTGAAGAAAAAAATAAGAAAAATTGAGGAGGAGAAGATGATATTGGAGATGCATGTTGCGGATGTCGTCGATGATCACAAGATCAAGATGGATGCAATGCGCTTGAAGATTAGAAAGATTAGAAAATATGCCATTCATACCGAGGTTTGGTATCATTATGCCGTTGGATCAGTTGTTACCTTGGTTGCGATTATGATCGCATTTGCTTTCGCATTAAAATGTTTTACATAGTTTCAATGTATGGTTTAATTAATTTAGATGCTCTGCAGAGCTTTATGTTGTTCTGTAATGATTTTCGCTTGAAGATGAGAACTATGTATGTACTTTGGTTTTGATGTGATGATGAACTTCTATTAATTTGGTCACTTAGTTATCTATTTATGATGTTCTGTAATAATTTTTGACACACTTAATTATATATAATGCACGCAGATGAACCGGCAATGGATGTACGATAACAGACACACCTCCGAGTACATTAAGGGCGCGCATGATTTTTTCGAAGTGGCTGAGGCAAACAAGCATAATGGTTTTATGTGTTGTCCATGCCCTTGTTGGGGAACGTAGTAATTTCAAAATTTTCCTACGCACACGCAAGATCATGGTGATGCATATCAACGAGAGGGGAGAGTGTTGTCCACGTACCCTCGTAGACCGTAAGCGGAAGCGTTATGACAACGCGGTTGATGTAGTCGTACGGCTTCACGATCCGACCGATCCAAGCACCGAACATACGGCACCTCCGAGTTCATCACACGTTCATCTCGATGACGATCCCCGGACTCCGATCCAACAGGGTGTCGGGGATAAGTTCCGTCAGCACGACGGCATGGTGATGATGATGATGTTCTACCGATGCAGGTCTTCGCCTAAACACCGCAACGATATGACCGAGGTGGAATATGGTGGAGGGGGCACCGCACACGGCTAAGGAACGATCACGAAGATCAACTTGTGTGTCTAGAGGTGCCCTCCTGCCCCCGTATATAAAGGAGGGAGGGGAGAGGTGCGGCCGGCCCCCTAGGGGTGCGCCTGGAGGAGTCCTACTCCCACTGGGAGTAGGACTCCCCCCTCTTGCCTTGGTGGAGAAGGAAAGGGGGGAGGGGAAAGAGGAAAGGGGGGCGCCGCCCCCCCTTCCTTGTCCTATTCGGACTAGGGGGTAGGGGGCGCGCGGCCTGCCCTAGCCGGCCCTCCTCTTCTCCCTCATGGCCCATGTAGGCCCAATAACCCCCGGGGGGGTTCCGGTAACCCCCCGGTACTCCGAAAAAATCCCGGTTTCTCCCGGAACGATTCCGATATCCAAATATAGGCTTCCAATATATCAATCTTTATGTCTCGACCATTTCGAGACTCCTCGTCATGTCCGGGATCACATACGGGACTCCGAACAACCTTCGGTACATCAAAACATATAAACTCATAATAAAACTGTCATCGTAACGTTAAGCGTGCGGACCCTACGGGTTCGAGAACTATGTAGACATGACCTAGAACTATTCTCGGTCAATAACCAATAGCGGAACCTGGATGCTCATATTGGCTCCTACATATTCTACGAAGATCTTTATCGGTCAAACCGCATAACAACATACGTTGTTCCC